CACTCCTGACTGGTGAGGAAGCCTGTCAATCATCCAATCGGCCAATCAGCGGGAGAAGAGGTCAGAATGGAGCAGATGACAGAGGAGGTCGCGGCCATCTTGCTTCATTGAAGACGCGATGGAGGTCCTGTGTGCGGCGGATTCGGGTCCCTGAAGATGGCGGACGCGGCACAGGTACTCGTTTTATGTATCAGAGTATTTGCACGAGTACGAGTACTCATGCAAATACTCGGTATCGCGGCCGATACCGATGCTTGTATCGGTATCGCGGCCGATACCGATGCTTGTATCGGTATCGGTGCATCCCTAGTAATGATGTTATTGGACCGCAGCTGTGGCTCTGGCTTCCCTTTTAGGAGGAACGGGTATCAGATTGCAGCTCTCCCTCTGATGCCGTAATGTGGATAAGGCTGGGAGGGAGCTGCTTCACATCACGCCCCGTTAGCAACCTGTTAACCCTGTGTATCAACTACAGGGTAAGTATGGAGGGTATGATAGTGAGCAAGTATGGTAGTTCAAATAAGCATAGGATTAGTATGTAGTTTAACTGGTATCAAGCAGACAGTGCACATAAGCATAGGATTAGTAGGTAGTTTAACTGGTATCAAGCAGACAGGTTCAATGGCATATGATTTGGAGGCAGAATAACTTGTATCAAGCAGACAGTGCACATAAGCATAGGATTAGTAGGTAGTTTAACTGGTATCAAGCAGACAGGTTCAATGGCATATGATTTGGAGGCAGAATAACTTGTATCAAGCAGACAGTTCAATTAGATTTGAAGGAAGTGCGGTGGATTTCTCAACCATAGCCATACAGCTATGGCTGGTATACTTGCAGTTTGTGGAACTCCCTATAATGGGAGAGGGTCGCTGCAGCACGCCTTTCCTTCAGTGCTGGTGGGTTCCTGGAGTAGCAAGTGGATGCCGGTTTGATCAGCGTCCTGCTTCAACAATAGTGGGACGCCGATCAAATGGTGGACCGCGGCTTTATGCCGGCTGCTCGAGTGAGTGGGCGGAGTCTTGAGGCGCGCCTGCGCAGTGATAGCGACGGACGCTGTCCGAGAGTGGGAGGAGCAACACGGTGCGCCTGCGCAGTGGCGCGGACGGATCGTGTTCCCGGCCGAGGGGAGATACGAGTGTCACAATAGCATAATGAAAGCGTGACATAAGGAAATCTGATTGTACAAACGTAAAGGAACCAAGCCAATCACAGTCTCAATCAGAAAACCATTAATAAGAAGGTATAATGGTTAGTGATGAGCTGAACACCTCCCGGTGGGAGGGTGCTTTTCCAGGGTTGCCCCTGGAAAAGCACTTTGTCCCCATGCCGATGGGGAGAAGGGCCTCTTCCCTATTGGTTGTGGGGGTGCGGGCAGAGGGCTTAGTCACATCAGGGTACCCCTTTAATAAAGGGGCAACGAGATGTGCCCCCCCCCCCCTTGTGAATGAGTAAGACTTTTGAAAAAATCCTTTATTTGGAAAAAAAACAAAAGACATGTTTTCAACATGTCTTTTATTTATTTATTTTAAAACAAAAATGGATCCACCAACGTAATCCAAGTTCAATCACTATGTCCAGCGTTCTCCACGACGGCGACAACTCAACGAAATAAAACAAGAAAAAATAAATAGAAATAATAAAGAAAAAAAAAACAACGGCCTTCGTTGACGTACTCCCGACACAGAATGGCATTTTTGACAGATGCCAGCAAAATATAAACAATTGGGTGGAGCTAGTGGTGACAGCTCCATCCAACTGTGTACAGTTGTACGGCATCTGACCGGTGAGCCATGATTGGGCAAAGTCTTGCACCTGATCCGCGCAGTGCCCGCCAAACGCCCTGACAGTTTGTGTGTTCGCCGAACACACAAACTGCCGATGTTCGAGTCGAACTTACGTTTGACTCGATCATCAAGCCCGTCACTAATCATGGTAACAGATTGCACCTCTAACGCAGGTGTGTGCACTAATAGTTGGCAATCTGCGGGAGGATGCCAAAGCAAAAAGGAATCCAAAGAAACGGGTAAACTCCCCTAGACATAATGGAAGGTGAAAGAAGAGAAAGTATAGGAGGAAATAAAGGAAAGAATGAGAAGATAAAGAAGAAAAAAGAACAACAAAGGAGAAAAGAGAAGAGGAGAGGGTCACATGAGTGTCTCGCAGTACACTAGACATCTTCTCATTGATCAGCATCGAGTTCATGCGAGAGCGGACTTCTGCAAAAGGGACCCTGAGGGGCTTTCCAGCCCTGGCGATCATCTGCTTCGCAGCCAAAAAGAGGTAGGTTAGTAATGTCTATTGAGAGGAGAAAAGAGCAGGAATTTTACGAACCTTACAAACCGGAACATGAAAAAGGGAAAATACCAGGCCAAATACCCTGGACCAAAATGAAGTCAGTTTAGGTCATGTCCACCAAACATGAACATCCCCCAATTGATCACAACCCTTAAAACATCTGTCATTATATGTCGGGATTACCTTAGCTATCCGTGCTGGAATCCAGCACCACCTCATAAGGACCTTGTCGGAAGATTCAAGGATCAAGGTGTTAAGTAAACACTTAGGTACACGAGACCAGATGTTGTGCCAATTCCTCTTTCGAGGGTAATGGACATAGTGGAAAGGTCTGAATTCCATTTGTTAACATAAAACAGAGAGAGAGAACCAGGTGGAGAGTTAAGGGTCGAGTATAAGGAGGAGATGATACCTGGGGCCCCAGGTGTATGAAGGCATACACTCTCAAATGTTTTTTTAATGTAAGGGGGTCCTGGACCTCTCAGGAGAGATCAGGACAAGGTCACAGTTGGGAATTCCCAAGCAGACCCATACTGGAGTATCCGTAGTAGTTTGAAGTAGAGAAAGTTGAGCAATATGGGCTGCCCTGTAGTACATGTTTCCCAACCCGCCCTGAAGCTTATGGGTATATAGAGTTGCACGGGGGATACCTGGTCTTTTTTTTCCTCCAGATATAATTCAGAACTCGGGTTTGAAGGACACAGAGAAGGAATTGGGGTACTCATACTGGCAGCACATGAAATAGAGACGTTTTGAAAGCAAGGACATCTTGATGACCCTACCAATTCAAGAGATAGATGGGGCACCCCAAGACTATAGTAGGGAGGAAAGGTGGCACAACAAAGGAAAATAATTCACTGAGAAAAGCGAAGTGTAGGAGGCCATAAGGTGTATCCCCAGGTAGGGGAAAGAGGAAGAGGTCCAGTGGAAAGGAAAGTTGGAACATAATTGGATCAATGGGGCAGAGGCAAGGACACTTTCATGGCCACAGACTTGTCTGGATTGACCACAAGGTCCGAAATAGAGGAAAACTGATTCAAAATACGCTGTAAATTAGGAAGAATAAGAAGGGGGTTGGTAAGAATGAGGAGAGCATCGTCTGCAAACAAACTAATTTTGTATTGCTGACCCGCATTAGAAACAACGGAAATGTTGGGGTTGCTCTTAATCACCATGGCCAATGGTTCCACCGCCAAGATAAACCAGATTTGTGAAAATGGGCATCCCTGTCACGTTCCCCTCGCAATAGGAAATAGGGTGGACCGAAACCCAGAGTATTGGACCAAATCAGAGGGCGATGTGTACAGAGCATCAATCCATGCCAAAATGGAGTCCTCGACCCCCACACCCTCAAAGCATAGCGGTGGTAGTCCCAAGAAAGGGAGTCAAAAGCTTTGTAAATATCGAGGGACAGCAGGAATCTGGGACAAACCAGGGACAAACCTAACCTGGTCCCGATGTACTAAGGATGTCAAGAAGACATTAATATGGGTGCTCAGTATTTTGCCCAAGATTTCACATCAATGTTTAAGAGGGAGATAGGTCGGAACTGTTGTGGATCATGCGCATCCTCAGAAACCTTAGGGATCATAGATATAGAAGCTTGGAGGGAAAAATAGGAAAAGGTAGGCCCCAGATTTAAGAGCATTTAAACAATTGGTTAGATAAACATAAAGGACAAGGACATTGGCACACTTCTTGTAATAAAAAGCTGAAAAACCATCTGGACCAGGGGTCTAGAGAACTGGAGAGACTTAATAGCTTTGAGGGTTTCAGCTTCGATAATGTCACTGTCAAGGGATAAACAGGCCTCTTTAGGAAGAGGAACCAGAGATAAGTTGCAAAAGAACTGGTCCACGTCGTCTACCCTAAAAAGTGTGGAGGAAGCATAAAGTGAGTTCAAAAAGTCTGCAAAAATTCCAACAACTTTGGAGGGATTGAAAGTTAGGGTCCATTGGTGGGTTACATAGTTACATAGTATTTGAGGTTGAATAAAGACACATGTCCATCAAGTTCAACCTATTGTGTGTATATGTATGGTCCTACTGATGTGTAGTATGTATAGGTATCGGTGTGTTCTCATTCTTAAAAGTACTTGTACCCCTGTATATTACGGTCTATGAGGAAATCGTCCAATCGCCTCTTGAATGATTCCACACTCTCAGCCAAAATCACAGCTTGTGGCAGCGAGTTCCAGACCCTGACTGATCTAACTGAGAAGAAACCCCTTGGCCCCTTGTGCTGAAATTTTTTCTCCACTAATTTTAGGTGGTGGCATCTCGTCCTTGTCATCAAGTTAATTGTAAAAAGTTTGCTGCTAATATTGCTATCCCTGGTAAACATTTTGTACATGAAAATCATGTCCCCCCTTAATCTCCTCCTTACTTCCAATGAGAACATATTTAAATTTAGTAGCCTGTTCTCATAGCTCATGGCATCCATCCCCTTTATGAGTTTGGTCAACTCCTCTAGACTCTTTCCAGTTCAAGGACATCCTTTTTGTTCACTGGTGCCCAAAACTGGACCGCATACTCCAGATGAGGCCGAACCAGTGATCTATAAAGTGGCACAATTATAGACTTAATTAATGTGGACAAATTATGTTGCGCTTGGTTGTGAATACTACACCTCTAATTAGTGTCCTCCTATGTGACATGAAATTTAATTATTTGGTGGAAACGGTAATTTTTAATCCCGTGTTGTAAGTGAAAAATATTTTCTTCAGTGTTCCCTAATGATTTTTTGTTATATAATACAATAAGCAAAAATTATTAAATTAATGAACTTAACCTGTGTTTTATTTAGTCTTTTGTTCTATCAGTGTTCAATATTTGCGTTTGGGATGTGCAAAAACATTTTTTTAAACCGTGTGGTGAGGTCTCATGTGCCCCACTTTTCACCTATATTGTGGTTGTGCAACGTGATTGTGCTCGTGGGATCAATGCCTATGTAGCTTAGGTAAGAAACTTTATGACGATTAATTACATGAATTGCATCAACCGATAAAAGTATCTCTGATTACACAGCTATCTAACTCAGAGTTCTGGGAGTAGTAGTAGCCTAGATGGATACAAAACAAATATAACATTATTACGCCTCGCAAATGACAGCTGGACTGAACCAGCCATGATTTCACGGCTGGCTCTGCCCAGTTGTAATGACAGATCAGCATCCCCAAATGACCTGGGGACACTGATCTGTCATTAGACAATAACAACTGACGTTTCACCTCCAGCTCCGCCCAGTTGTTATTCATTGGCCAATAGGAAACAGTTGGGTGGAGGTAGCTGTCACTGCTAGCTTTGTCCAATTGTTTTTTTTTTTTCTTTTTATAAAAGTTTTTTTTTTAAAATCATTATTTATTAATAATTTTTTTTTTTAAATGCAACTTTTTTTCCCCATCTTTTTTCCCTATTTGCTATTCTGCTCGGTACCGCAGAGGTACCGAGCAGAATAGCCGAGCCGAATGCCGCCACGTGTTGGATCGACTGAGTTGAAGTCCTTCTGCACTTTGGCTCAGCCAAAATCAACCGTACTGAGCCGTAGTGAATAGCCGAATGTTGTTTGACTCACTTCACTACGACTCGGTTATTCACTCGGCTGCCTTTGTCAGCTTTGTGAATAACCCTGTTAGAAAGCAGATGTACTATACTGCCACTTAACATGGAGGCAGCGTTAGGGCAGGTGTTGCTGTCAGAAGTGCCCATTGGAAGGGGTGAGAGCACCACAGATGTCATTTCTATTTACTGCTACTGCTTCATTAATCTGTTTCTATGTGTATTTTTATACAGGTGCTGGTGACAATTCCACAATGTTTGGAAATTCTTCTGCTATCTCCCCATCGGCAGGATTGGGTGAAAAAAATCAAATATGTAATATTTGATGAGGTATGCAGCATTATAGAATAAATAATGTATGTGCTGAACAAAAACAATATTATAAAATGCATTGTCACCCAGTGGCAACTAAGTGTCTGCAAGAATAAAACAGGAATGTGACATAATGGCAAGGTTGGATTTACCATTAGGCACAGTAGGCATATGCCTATAGGTGGCTGAGTAAAAGAGGGGTCTTCTCCTTTATTTTTATGAGCCAACATCTGTAGAAATACTGTACAGCCATCTCATATAAGTTTGTCTATTCATTGTCACAATATTTAATGCCTAGTTAGGAGTAAAACAAGAAAACGTTAGGAAAAAGAGATGATCCTAGAGGTTGTGTGCTGCTTTAGGTGCCAACTGTTGTTTGCCTATAGCCTCCAGTGATAGAAATCCAGTACTGCATTAAGCTGGCCATACACCTTACAATTATCTGCAGATTTTCTGTGGTCAGATGGAAAAGGTGCAACAGATTCCTCTATCTACACTTAAAGGGGTTCTCCCGTTTTTTTGCCTATATCTACTGCTATCAAGCAGTAGATATAGGCAAACAGTTTTAAAAAAACAGCGGTTTAAACTTACCTTTTTTTCTTTGCGCGCTCCCGCCCGAGAAAACGAAACTATTCGGGCAGCCGCAAAGCATCTTGGGGCGGGCGCATGCGCAGTTCGGATTCTCGGCCGGGAGACGGGCAGAGACGCTAGGTAAGTGTATGGACGCATGCACCCGCATGCAGACACCGCTGGATCGGAGAGACAGAGCAGTCAGCACTGGATTGGAGAGCCGCAGCACCCCTGGAGGGACACATGAAAACCTCAGGAAAGAAGAAGATCGGAATAAGAGACATCATTTAAGGTAAGTGCTAACATTAACATGGGGGGGATAGAGCCACTGTAAGTAGAACGAATCATCTGTGCAAGAGATAATCAGCCAGTTAAGAGATCACCAGCATTGGGCCCCTTTCACAAAGGCTTTCTGATCAGGTCTGTCTGTCAGTTTTCAGGTGGATTTAATCGGAAAGCCGAGTGTAAAGGTGCCCATACACCTTACAATTATCTGCAGATTTTCTGTGGTCAGATGGAAGAAGTGCAACAGATTGGCCCAGGTGGAGATTACTCTATCCACACAGTTAAGTGTAGATGGAGGAATCTGTTGCACCTTTTCCATCTGACCATAGAAAATCTGCAGATAATTGTAAGGTGTATGGCCAGCTTTAGTCTATGGGCAGCCAGAGCTAAACGGACGTGCATCTGTTTACATTCAATTACCCCCTACTCTATCCAGTTCTGGAACAGAGTTCCATTTTGGCAGACTTCCCATAGACCTAACATGGGTCCGGTATGTTCAGTTTTTTTCTCCATTGCAAGATGGAGGTGAAAACTTAACAGACACGGTGTCACAACAGTGAGATCCGTTCCAAACTGCTCCGATCAGCGGGGGATCCGTGCTGATTGCAACTGACAGGCACCCGTACAAAAGAAGCCTTATATGGCTGAGAGACTGTTGCTATAAAACAGTACATTGATTTTTTTACTTTGTGGTCAAAAATGTTGTGATTAAAATTTTTGTCTGATATGTTTATAATGCAAGGTACACTGCTTGGGAGGAGAAATTGGCGCAGAAGTCTGGGAGCACCTACTAGTCATGATTCGCTGTCCATTCTTGGCTTTATCTGCCACAATTAGTAACCCAGAGCACCTCACCGAGTGAGTATATATGAATACAGCCTATTATAAATATGAACTCCGTCTGGGGTAGTACCAGGACTGCCCGGGCCCCATAATTTACAGGGGAGCTTTTGTCTGGAACGGCAGGCAGGAGACCAGAGGCACTCTTGGTGGCAAGGGTGGACTGGACCAGGGGACTGCATTGAAAGCAGGGCTGGCGTGAGTGTAAGGCATCCTGAGGGCAGTGGGGGGAGAAGGTGGGCGGTGATTGCCGGATCTGCAGAGCACACAGGTCGGAAATGCATGGCTGGGGCCAGTAGAGGGGAGGAGCTGATGAAAAATCTGATGACGGGAACAAAAAAAAAACTGTATTGAGGAGACCAGTAGGAAATCTAGACCTTACCTCCCAATTATTAGGTAAAAACTAAGTTGATTGTTGCAGATGGAGGGGATTTGCCCACCAGCAGGTGCCACCCCTGTCATTTGTATTGTTCCTAGTTCCCTACTCTTGCAGGTGGTGATATAACCCATCGTTAAGATATATTGATCATCTGTGTCCTTTAATGAATGAAATAATACACAGATTTGGGGTTTATAGACATTTTAAGCTCTTTGCTCAGAGTTCAGAATTAAAACTTGAATCACAGCTCTAAATATTATTTCTCAGCTTTTTTTTGCATTTGCTTTTGTATACAGTCTTTACCTATTACCTCTGCACTTTTATCTCTCACAACTTTTATCTCCATGTTTTGATTAGCTGTAAACCACAAAGTTCATTGGCAGTACCAAGTATTCTATCAGTACTGATTACAGCACAGTCAGGACCGGATTTACTCTCCCTGCTGCCCCAAGGCCAGGTTCCACAATGTGCCCCCTCCCCACTAACCCCCAACACCCCCCCATGGAGAATGCCAACCAGATAGCAGGGGTGGCAGGGTTGTTTGAATTTTTTATGGTTCTTTTTTTTAATCATTTTTTAAATTTTTTTTACATTTTTATTTTTGTTATAATTTTTTATTTAATCATTTTCTTTTTTTATTACTTTATTTTTTAATGTAATTATTATTACTTATTATTTTTTACTTTTATTTATGTAAATTATTTTTTTATCAATTTTTTTCACCTAACTATATTGCTATCACACATACAGCTCTCCATCCTGAAGACGTTGGTGGCCAGCGAGGAGAGGACGGAGCCGGGAGGACGCAACCAGCATAGAAGGAGAGAGGTAGGGAGGACGGGCAGTCTGATTACAAGTGATCTTGGCAACATCACCAAGATCACTTGTAAAGAAACAAGTGGTTTCCCCCGTTCTACATTTAGCCCTGCTTGTGCAAAGCAGGGCTAAATGTAGAAAACAAATAACCACCCGCCACCCGGAACTGTATGTTTCGGCGTTAGGTGACTTCAAACCTGTGCCGCCCCTCTGCTCCTTGCCGCCCCGGGGCCGGGCCTCGGTGGCCTTGTCGGGAATCCGGCCCTGAGCACAGTACAGTATAGTTTGGTCATTGGATTTCATTTTGAAATTCTGATTTCAGTTCCCCTTCAGTCCTCAAACTATTAATTCATTTATTATTTGAAGTATTTTGCACAGAAATGAAGTGTAGCTGTAACTGATTCTTTACTATTCAGGTGGCTTCGATCGGTCAAAAAATACTGGCAGCTAAATAATGAAAGGGAATCTAGTCTTGTGACAAATCCACCACAAAAGGAAAGACAGAATAAACCGCTAAAACCAGAAAAGAAGTCATACAGAGTTCGACTAGGTAATTTGTGTAAAACAATGGCTTTTATTTATACATGATATTTGAAATAAAGTAGTGTACAATTAGGGTGATGGACCTGTTTTCTATCTGCCTCTTGTTTTATGCTCTTACTCTGCAAAGTTTATATACAGTAGGCACACTTTTCTAAACACTTTGCCATGTTTCTTTGCCATGTCATTTCCAAGTAAACAATTTCTGTAATACATGAAGCAAGATCAAAGCCTTGAGCAGACACTGAAACAAATCACTGAATATTGAAGAATACTGCTATTTGCAAATACTCCACAGTAAAAATCAGTAATATTGTAGCCATCTATCATAGTTAGAGCCGATGTGTGACAATGAGACTTTGAGCGAACACATACCGTTGCTTACTCACTTCTCGACCATGTTCCCCTCTCCCCGCTCCGATCCACCACTGCTGACTGGCAGCACTACTGACTGCCTCTAGATAGGCAGAGCCAGCTGTCAATAACGCAGGTGGGTGGATCTCGACAGTAATGTCGGGATCCGTCCTGGCTGCGGCGGTCTCAGTATACAGCGAGCTGTAGCTTGCGATATACTGAGTTTTTGGGTGACGGGAGGACGCTAGTTTATATCCTACCTCGACCCTTAGGAGAACTTTGGGGAAAAACACTTACTCCATAGTTCTCCTTTAATTGCACACCCAATTATAAAAGAAATAATGTGAATTTATTTATTTGCATTTGAGCCTGCAAAGCATTGCACCCACGCTCAATGGATTGCTAGTGCAATGCTCAGGCTACTGCAGACTCTTCCTCTCAGTCGCTATCCATACTGAGGTACAGACTATCCATACTGAGGTACAGACTTTCAGTTACAGGGTGGGAAGAAGTTTCAATGAACTTCTAATGCAGTGGCATCACTGCACTTGTACTCTATTGAGAACTAAGAGTCCCTCTACCATGGTGGCTGGGAGAAATACATAGGCTTTTGCTGCTGACCTCTTGAAAAGTGCTGGCTGCCTGGCTGTCATGCTGATACAATGGCTTCAGTACTATCCAAGCTGCTGATCCAGAACATGTATACAAACCAAAGGTGTTGGCATTACATGCTGCATACTTGTTTAAGTATGAGACTACAAAAGCCATTAGTTTAGCATGACAAGCAGGCATCTTGAATGTTCAGAAGGTCAAGACAATGTACAGAAGAACACTGACAATGTACTTCTCTCACCACATGTCCTTCGCTAGGTGAGCACTCTTGCAGGCCAGCCCCACTGATATTTCCATTTTGTGTGTTCTGAAGTTGAGTGAATTACTGCCTTTACAATATCTCTCATGACAGTTTCTCAAAGTAAGCAAATCACTATAGAAAAATCTCACTAATATGAGCAATGTTATCCAATGGAGTCCACCTGAAACCCAGGTTTGTTGTATTGCTGCGTCTAGTTATTACTTACAGGATTATTCACTTAGCTTGCTTGCATGTTCGGTTGAGCCGAAGTGCAGAGGGACTTCGATTCAGCCGATCTAACATCTGGATCGGCTGAGCCGAAGCTCCGACAGCTCACTCGCTGCTGTTCGCCCCTATTCTCATAGGAGCCGAACGGCAGTGAGCGAATAGCCGAATGCCGCCGAGCGGCATTCGGCTTGGCTGTTCTGCTCATTTCCTCTGAGGTAGCAAGCACAATAGAAATAAATGTAAATTAAATTAAATTAGAAAAAGGTTTAACCACTTCAAGACCAGGTGTTTAGACCCCCTTCCTGGCCAGGCCATTTTTCAGTGTTCAGCGCTGCAGTCCTTTGACTGACGTTTATTCCGTCATGCAACGCTGTACTGAAATGAATTTTATACCATTTTTTGGGGACAGATAGGGCTTTATTTTGGGGGTATTTAATCACCACTGGGGTTTTTATTTTTTATTATAATTAGGAAAAAAGGCCCGGAGGCAGTTAAAAAGTATTTAAATCAATGTAAAAAAATAGAGAAATTAAACAAAGTTAAGAAAATAATAAGACATTTTTTAAACAAAATTAAAAGAAAAAAAGTTTAAAAGTAATGTAATTTAAAAAAAAAAATAGGAACAAGGGCCTCTTCCCCGCATTGGTTTTGGGGGTTCGGGCAGGGGGCTTATTCACATCAGGCTACCCCTTTAATAAAGGGGCACCCATATGCGGCCCCCCCTTTGTGAATGAGTAAGGGGTACTTGTACCCCTATCCATTCACTAAAAGGTTAAATAAAAACACCAGACTTTAATCAAAAATCCTTTATTTGAAAAAAAAACAAAAATTGATCCACCTACATAATCCAGGCTCAATCCAGCAGTGTCCACAACGACGACTCGACGAAAAAATAAAATGAAAAAATAAATAATGTTTAAACAACGCTGCACACTGACCCGACCGCACATGACGAGCTCCTGCCGCATAATGAAGCATCTGACAGATGCCAGAAAAAGGAAAACAATTGGGCGGAGCTAGCAGTGACAGCTAGCTCCGCCCAACTGTTTCCTATTGGCCGGCAGCTGCCAGAGTCTTCTAGCAGGTCCCAGCCAATGAATAACTGGGCGGAGCCGGCCATGACATTATGACTGGCTCCGCCCAGTTGTTATTGTTTAATGACAGATCAGTGTCCCCAGGTCATTTGGGGACCCTGATCTGTCATTACAACTTGGTGGAGCAAGCCATGAGATCACGGCTATCTCCGCCCTTCGACAGGTTGTTCTCCCTACTTTGGCTATCACTTCGGCTCAGTCGAGCTGAAGCATATGCCTTCAGCTTGGCTGAGCTGCACGGCTGCCTTCAGCTGCTGCACGGGCTATTGTGAATAGCTCGTACAGCAGCCCTTCGGTTCTAGTGAACCGAAGGGCGTAGACGGCTGAAGCGACCGGAAGGATCAGCCAAAGCTATGGCTGGATCCTTCGGCTCTTTAGTGAATAACCCCCATGGTGTTTCTATTTATGGGAGATTGGATGAGTTTCCTGGACAGCTGCACTCAACTGATTTCTCCATTCCCAGAAGTACTATTGGTGTGCACATTTTAGACTTATTTGAATACTGTTATGTAACCTTCCTGGCTGCCAGAGAGATAAAGGAACTAAGGTGCACCTTTATGGCATCTGGTATATTATTGCATATGATCTCTTGAAGTTTCTGCCTGAATCTAGTGTCACTGTTTGTATAATTATATAACTGTATTTTTTTTAGTCTGTTATGACAGGAGATATAACGACTTGGAGACAAACATTTGTTCTGTTAAAAATTCCAAGGTTACATTTGACCATTATCATCCATTTGCTGCCTTAACCATAGATCATGTAAGTATAATTGCAATTATTGTTTGCGTTGTAATTTTGTTCCAATTAACAAACAGTTTATGTACTTTTGGTGGTGTTTTTAATTTTCCTGAAAGAGTAGCAATAACATTCAATGAATCCTTAGCTATACTTTAGTATGCCTGGGAAAAATTAACTTGTAATTATTTTATGTTAATGGAATGCATGGCAATAAGTGAATGAAACAATCAATAACAACACTTGTTTACTACAAATAGGTGAAGAACTATGGAATTCCAAAAGATCTTACATGTTCTCCTCGAGAATGCATACAGCTATATGACACCATGGCGAAAGTATGGCCAACCTCTGCAAATATGAAGGTAAATAACACAGATATTTTAGATTAAAATCACTAACCATAGTTCCCTGGCACATCTTTGGACTTGCAGAACTCAATTCTACCTTGATTTAATGTTGGGCTGATGTACAATGACATCACCGCATGTGCAGTATGAGCCTCTGTGTGGGACACTTCAACCTGCAAGTATCATTGAGACAAAAGGGTTAGTGGGAGCCACCCAGTTCACAGTAACCATAGCTTCCAAAAATCACCCAGGGCTAGGTTATAGTGGTATTTGGAGCTCCATTTATTCTCTACAACTACACCTACGTAGTTTTGCCATTAAGAGTATAATATCAGAATTCTTCTTTATCTGTCTCTTTCTGTTCTAGAAATACATTGATTTAATCAATTCAACCTTATTACATTTCATTTGAGAAGAGAAGAACAATATAAAAAATGGCAAATTAGTAAAACAAAAACAAAAAAACACTTTAAGAAATATTACAAACCTAATTACAAATTACAAACCACAAAGCAGACATTTTCCTTAGTTCCAGCAGGTGTCTGTTGAAATACATCAGATTGCTATGTCTACAGATTATTATCCATCATCAGTCACTTCTTTGGTTATCTTCTGGTAGATCACAATGGACATGTCTACTCTCATTATGATACCTCTTCTCCCGAATGTCAACAAAGGGGTGGAACATGTCACATGATGTCACAACTCGCTCTGCCCCTTTGTTGACATTCAGGATCAGAGCTGTAATTTTGCGGCGGTGTTTATCGGAATCCGACGTGGCGGTGGGCTTCAGGAATTTTTTATTTCCGCTATTTGCCGGCCGTCATCCATCATGATTGACGTGGATATACATTGCTGATGACGTGATTGACCTTGGGATTACATTGATGGACATTTTGTCTAAATAAATTACCTGTCAAAAACCTGTTTTTTTATGGTGTTGTGTGTTTATTTACAATTTTACTGTGTATTTGGTGAGTGAGTAGGGGTACCAACTACCCCTTACTCTTTCACAAGGAGGGGGGCAGGATCTGAGTGCCCCCTTTATGAAAGGGGGCACCCAGATTCCTATAAGCCCCCCTGCCTCCCTGCCCGAAGACCCCCACAACCACCAGACCAGGGTTGTGGGAAGAGGCCCTTGACTTTCAGACCCGACATTCAGACCTGAATCCCGAAAAATGAAATAACAAAAAAGCAAAAACAATGCTGGTTTCAGCATGTCTGACTCCATGTGAATGCAGCCTAAAAAAGCACATTTCAAATTATTTCATTTTTGATTGCCTTTAGTCCAATGGCAGAACAAAAATGTAGTGCTTCTGAATTGTTTTTCCTTTATAACCTACATTGGCTAGATGTTTCCTTCAAAAAATATTCCATTGTCTGGTTATTTCCATGTCACTTATTGTCTCAGAGAGTGGCTCAAATTATTTGATGCTTCAGGAGACCTCTATGTCATTTATCAGATATTAAACAGATTGTTCTTTCTGTATAACCATATGAAACTGTTACTTGCCATTCTTCATTGTATATGGACTTTCTCCAAAAGTTCCTCTAATGTCACAGTACAGATAGCATGTGAAGGTGAGTCGTTTTTTTTGTTTTTACAATTCTCTGCAGGGTAGAAAGAGTTGGCTGACTATAAGTGATCCCCCTCCCCTTATTTTGTCTCTGGAGACAAATTTTGGGTGCCAAGCAAGTACTACGTTTTATCCTTGTTCAGCTGGTGCACACAAACTTATGACAAATGTGTTCAGACTGTAGTTTTAATATGAGGTAGTGAGTGCTTTGTCACCTATTTTTCATTCGTTTATCACATTAGCCACAAAACCAAAAATACATTTCGTATATCACAGGTATGTATTACATATGTCTCAAGTATACACTAACTATGCTAATTATTTGTTTAACTAAGTCTTTAGATCCAGAAGAGGATATACACCTGAAGGACAATATATTAATTACCAAAGATGATGCAAAAAAATATCAAGAGGCCCTTAAGAGTGAATTAGTTGACTGGATTGAAAAAGGACATTGTGCACAGGTAAGTTCTATCAATCATTTTATTGCATTTGGATGCTAAATTAACAGTCCTAACAGTGTGGAACAGTTTTAGCCACTATATCAGGCATGTAAAAACTGTGTTTATAGACTGCATGTAACAGTCTTGTTCCTTCTTTGCAGCCCTCTGTGTTTTAGTGGTAAAAAGAAAGAAACACCCCCCACTAAATTACACTTCCTTGGATAATTTTGCATCTAAACACATGAGTAAAAATGTTTTCTGTTTCAAATGCCGCCTTATGCATTGATGTATTTCTAGATCTTGATCCATCTGGGCAGTATGGTCACCTGCTGAACCAGCACAATCCACGGACAGCTCAACTTTCCAATAAGATAGAGGTTGAATCTAATGCAGTTTTACTTCTCAAAGTACAGTCCGTGATGGTAATGAGGTCTAAGCATGTCAAAATTGATTAGAACATTCCATCTTCATCTCATTCAACTTATTAAAATTCATCACTTCTAGATAGAAGTAAATCAGATCACCCATCAAATAAGTGTTGTTTAAGAGAGTCTTCAAAGTTTCACCAAGATGACAGAATGACAGAGTTGTGTATTCGGGCCTCCCTCCATGGCTGGCGTTAATTGGCCTAGGCTTAGCTGTTTATTGGTACCAGTCATAAAACTTTAATGAAAAGACAACAGTCCGCACACTTAACCAATTCAGCTCATCTTCTACAAATCACCTGGTCTGATTACAAAGCAATGCTTGGTATCTCCTTCAAGCTAATAAACTAAAGTTCCAATCTAACATAATATTTGTGACTCCAGACCTTGGGGTGCTACCTTTATTATTGAATTTGTATATAGCTACGTCTCTTCAAATGAAATCTGTACATAATAAACTTGATTGGTTTAGCAGATCCAGAGGCCTAAATACATACATTAACCCTTCTGAGGCAGCCATAACCCACAGAGTGGTAAAGTGTTATGTCTATCCAAAATGGGCAGTTTGGGAGGAGAGCGTAGAAGATCATAAATGCACAGCCCTACATGATTTTTCTTGATTGGACTAGGGGCCAGCTTAGTGTCACCCCCTAGGGGGCTGACAAAAAGCTGCTGCAGGAAGCAGCTAGGAAGCTCTTGTTGTAACGTTAAAAGAAGAGGATTGTGTACCATCAAAGAAGAGCTCCCCTTTAAAATCAAGAAGGAACCTTTGCAACCTACTAGACATGTGCGATTCGTTTCGTTACGAATCGAAATTCGTACGAATTTTCCTGAAATTCCGAATTTCGGAGCATCCGAAATCCGAAAACCTACTTGAGTAAGAGCCCTATCCAGACCTTTCTTCTGTTTCATGGTCTGGACTCTTCTAGAACACGCAAAAACCAGGACTTGTTAAGTACTCATTGTTTTCCCTATTTTTACTGTTGTTATATGTATCTCTCCTTTGTAAAAAAATGTTTTATTATTTTCCTGCACCATTTCTTTTATTAAAAATTATCTTTTGAAATCATTATGCTTATCTCTATGCTCTAAATTACAAATTAAAGTATCCTTGTCTCTACGAAGAACGCTATCCTATTGTAAAACCTGCCATATTCCTGTCTGAAAGGACAAACGCATCACAGGCATAGTTTACGTTTTTTGAATTGTCACACTATTTGCTGGGAACGTTGCATGTTTCCATTAAAACACATGGTGACAGCTACTCTTTAGGTGTGTAAAGAGCTAACTGCGGAGTTAATTAACCCCAGTGATGATCGATTTCAGTCTGCTGGTCTTAGATCGTTGTTCTGTGGGCTGGAAACGGTGAGGCTGAGAGTGGTATTGTCATTGCCTTGTGACGGTTCGGTTGGATCGGAACTGCATATAGTCAAGTGGTGATGACATACAGTGGGTTCGGACCATCCAGTACCATTTCACAGTGGATTGAATGTTTAGCAGTAATTTGAAAAAGCTTCCCAGCCTAATGTCTGCTATGAAGGGTAGCAGCTACATTGAGGGAACATGGAGAAGAAGTGAGGGTCATTCTAAAGACTGTACCAATCAGTCAAAAACAACATAGTGGGTAGGACAAAACAAAATATCCCTCTCTGGGATTATATATTGTACATTACAATTTTTACTATAATGTTAAGTTCCAAAGCACCATAATCTTTACCTGGAATTAAGCAAGTGTGGCCCTCAGCAAACATAATACAACCCCCCTGAAGAGTTAGTTCTCTCAAATCAGCCCACTTTGAGTTTGACAGCCTTCGGTATATTGCAAGCAATTAGTAACTTACCCTTGTTCTGTCTTTATCATGTTTGATCATTGATCAACTGTTGTATTACATGGACACATTAACAGTTTATTCTGAGCATACAGATATTAAAGGAATTTAATGTTATTTACTGTCTAAACTTAAATGAATAATTTTAAACCACCCCATAACTGGCATGTGTAGTTTAAAAGTCAGGTGACTCCCTGTGCAAAATGGACATTTTTACAGTGCACATGCACATGAACACAGTACTTGTGTTTGCTGTGACTAATCACAGTGATCACAAATGTAGTAAACAAACAGCCCCCCCCCCCCCACAATTGCTGATCACCCAAGCAGATAGCTCTGCCATAGAAAGAGACAGACAGGCAGACAGGCTGCTGCATCAGTAAAGTAAATCTTTAGGAATGCAACAATACAATTTTTTCCAGACCGAGTATGCGTACTAGGGATGTCCTGATACCACTTTTTCAGGACCAAGTACAAGTTCAACTACTTCCCCTCATGGACTTGCCGATAGCAATTACCGATACTTTTTCTTAAAGGGACAGGTGACATTTAAAAAAAAAACAATACAGACTAATGATTTTAGGATAATTTCTTTATGATTACAAATAACTTTCATTTAAGACTGTTTTAGAACAATACAACATTTGCATTTGCTTTCACACAGCTACAGTGAAACTACAAATCCGATCATGCATCTGCCTCTAGGATCATTTAACCTATTCATGTTAGCAGGGGAGAATTGTAACCCTATTACCGCAGTGTCCTGGAAGTGTGTACTATGGATAATTTAACCTGGTACACACTTCCAGTACACTACAGTAATAGAGTTACAATTCTCCCCTGCTAACATGAATAGGTTAAATGATCCATAGAACAACTGCATATTTTGTACTATTATGTACTACGGATCTTTTAACCTATTCATATTAGCAGGGGAGAATTGTAAATCGATTGCTGCAGTGTACTGGACGTGTGTAACATACATGTACTATGTACTACATATAGAGTACACTGCAGCAATAGATTTACAATTATCCTCGGCTAACATGAATGGGTTAAATGATACATAGTACATAACATGTAGTTGTACTATGGACAGTGGCGACTCTAGGAACAATATATAGGGGGGGCACATAAGATATCACAGCCAAATCTGGGGGGGGCACTAATAATTTTCTTTGCATGTCGCAACCGCTGGGCGCCGAGAGCTGATTTAATTGTGGATGGCATCTGCGCCCTGCGGTTGCGACATGTAGTCCAACGCCGCCCACAATCCTGAATACACACAGCGTGTATGTGCGGCTGTGCGTGGCTCCATACCGTCTGCAATCTTTTTTTTTTAATGCGTGTGTTCGCAGGGGCTGGGGCCTTTAATTTTATGGGAGATTTTTAATTTTAGTTTATTTAACTTTTTATTTTTTTAAAACTTTTTTTCTATTTTTTTTGTATTTTTTATTAAACTTTATTTTTTTACATTTAACGATCGCGCGGCTGTCAGCAGGAGAGGAGCTCAGACGCCGCAGAGATGTGAGTAGACTGCAGGGGGGAGCTCACAGACTGTCGGAGGGTTCTCCTTACAGGCTGTAATCAACAATCTGTCCCCACTGACACAGATCGCTGCAGCCGATTACAGCCTGTAGGGAGAAACCGCTGACAGTCTGTGAGGCTGCAGCGGGGAGAACCCCTGTCCCAGCAGATAACTGTGTGATAACCGTCCCGGGCACAGTTATCTGCTGGGACAGGGATTCCATTTCTCTTGCCGTGCGCTTGTCTTGTCTTGCGCTAGCGCCGGGACTGCCGCCACTGTTAGCGGGGGGCACACGGGGGGCAAGTGATAACCTAGGGGGGGTGATTGCCCCCTTACCCCCCTGTAGCGACGCCACCGACTATGGATCATTTAACCTATTAGTATTAGCAGAGGATAATTGTAAATCTATTGCTGCAGCGTATTGGCAATATGTACTGTATATATGTACTACATATAGCGTACACTGCAGTAATAGAGTTACAATTCTCCCCTGCTAAAAGGAATGGGTTAAATGATCCATAATACAACTACATGTTATGTACTATGGATCATTTAATCCATTCATATTAGCAGGGGAGAATTGTAAATCTATTACTGCAATGTATTCTATATGTAGTACATATAGAGCACACACTGCAGACAATAGATTTACAATTATCCTCTGCTAATATTAATAGTTTCTTAATTGCCCTCACTCACTGATCGATGATGGCCGGTGCCTCACGATGTGCCTCACTGGTGAGGTCGTAGTCAGCGCTGTGTGGGAGAGCAGCGGCGAGTCAGCGCTGGTCCGGTGGGAGAAGCTCCAGGTGGGGTCCTAATTTAGCTGGCCGGCGACTGCCTGGTCACCAGCCAGCTAAATTAGGACCCCACTTGGTGCTCCTCCCACTGGACCAGCGCTGACTTGCCGCTGCTCTCCCGAACAGCAACTGGAAGGTAAAGGGAAAAAAAATAGCGCAAGCTTCAGCGCTATGTATCGGGGCATTTTGACAAGTACAAGTACTTGTCAAAATGCCCTGTATCGGTCCCAATACCGATGCTAGTACTGGTATCGGGACATCCCTAATGCGTACAGGTACTTTTCCTCAAGTTCCACCATGGCTGTGTGCGGTGTCTCAATAGGGCTGTGTGCAGTCTCACCACAGCTGTGTTTAGTGTCTCACCAGAGCTGTGAGTGGGTCTCTCCAGGACTGTGTGTCGTCTCACCAGGGATGTGTGGTCTTACCAGGGCTGTGTGTGATCTCACCAAGGCTGTACGTGATCTCACCAAGGCTGTACGTGATCTCACCAAGGCTGTACGTGATCTCACCAAGGCTGTACGTGATCTCACCAAGGCTGTACGTGATCTCACCAAGGCTGTACGTGATCTCACCAAGGCTGTACGTGATCTCACCAAGGCTGTACGTGATCTCACCAAGGCTGTACGTGATCTCACCAAGGCTGTACGGTTACAACAGGGCTGTGCTGGTGGCCCCGGTTTATTAATTTCTGGACAGTATGATTCATAAGGTGCCAGTTCAAAACTTTAGCTACTGATGTCTACACCAAACACCCCCCCCCCCCCCCCCCCTACCCTTCTAGAA